GGGGGGGGGGGGGGAAATACAAAAAAAACACCTGGCCCGTCCCCAGGGTGTGTGCATGTGACAATTAGTGTTGCCCACTCTTCCACATGTACCGGATAAGGTCATTCTGGCCCCTGCTGCAGGTGCTCTCACCCCCACATCTGCCCGTCTTCTGCCCAGCAATTAATCCTGTCCTCCAGACCCCCATCAGTTCAGTCCCCCAGCCCCCATCATCACCATCCCATCAGTTCAATCCCCCTACACTGTCGACCCCCACTGCCCTCAGTTTACCCTCCCAGAACTCACCCCATCTGCTCAGAACCGACCATCAATAGAGCCCCTCCACCCATCAGTCCCCACCTTCCTCACTTCAGCCCCCTCAGGAAACCCCCAGGCCAGGGATTGGCAACCTTTGACACGCAGCTCGTCAGGGTAAGCACCCTGGCAGGCCAGGCCAGTTTGTTTACCTGGGGGGGGGGGGGGGGGGGGGGGGGGGGCGGGAAGCAGCGGCCAGCACATCCCTCGGCCCACGCTGCTTCCAGAGCCCCTATTGGCCTGGGACGGCGAACCGCAGCCAGTGGGAGCCGCGATCGGCCGAACCTGCGGATGTGGCAGGTAAACAAACCGGCCTGACCCGCCAGGGTGCTTACCCTGGTGGGCCACGTGCCAAAGGTTGCCGATCCCTGCCCCAGGCCATAATTCAACCCTCCCAGCCTCATCTCTGCTCCTCTTAGGGTTCTTCACTCTCCCCAGGCCTGGGGGGCTGCTGTAAAGTCTCCTCTCCCACTTCCCCAGCTGACAGTGGGGAGCCCCAGCCGCCCGAGGCTTACAGCAATTTTTAAGTAAAATTAAGCCTCACTCATGATCGAACTCTCAAATGTCAGAATTTGGGGGGAATATCCTGACATTTGAGAGTTCTATCGCGAGATCATGAGTGGGTGGGGCTTAATTTTACTTAGCGCGTCTCTCGTGATAAATTTGCAAGAGGTGGCATGTCTGGATGTGCTGGCAAACAAGGAAGGAAAGTGGAAGGGAAAACCAAATAAAAGAAGTGTTTGCAAATTACGAAAAGGGTTGTGTAAGAATTAAAACAAAAGGGATTGCGGGGGTGGGGAAGAAAGGACAAAATAAAGGGAGTAAGCAACTTATCAAGGCAGAAAGATATGAACAGCTACAGGACTCCTCTGCAAGCCCTAATTTAGGGGTGGGGCTGAGATTCCTGGCTGTGCAGTCAGGCCCATCAGGAGACATGTGGGGCCCAGTACATCTTGTTCACTGGGGCCCCACCCTCTCCCTTTTCACTCTATTTACGCAGATGTGTTGAGCTCAGGACCATGGTACAATTGTCTCCCTCTCATCTCACCAGCACTGCGCAGTGACCTGTGCCTTAAGAGACTGCTGTAATTTAAGATACGTCTGCACTTTGAGCTGGACGTGTAAATTCCATCTTAAGGAGACAGATCAGCGGAAGCTCAATCAGAGCTTGCACACTAAAAACAGAAGGGTAGCTGCAGCAGCAGAAGGGGCTAGCCACCCCAGGTATGCACGAGTATCTTGGATGGGATTGTACTCAGGGTGGGTAGCCCCTGCTCCTTTACAGTCTAATTTTAGTACTCTAGTTCGATCAGAGCTAGTGAGGGCATGTTTCCTTAAGCTGGACATTACATTTTCAGCTCAAAGTGTAGCCATACCCTTAGAAAAGTTAGGCCAGGGCTTTCTAAGTTACCCAATGGGCTTCTCCAACCCCCAAAACACCCCAGGCTCAGCTGGGCATAAAGGTGTATTAAAACCACCTTAGCTCACCCCCACCTGCTACCCCACCCCATGGGCTGTAAGTTTTGTGCTACATCTCCTAGCCTGCATCCTCACTGTAAAGAGGGCAAGTTACCTGTCTGAGGCTACGTCCTCACTACGGGGGGGGGGGTCGATTTAAGATACGCAAATTCAGCTACGCGAATAGAGTAGCTGAATTCGACGTATCACAGCCGACTTACCCCGCTGTAAGGACGGTGGCAAAATCGACCTCCGCGGCTTCCCGTTGATGGCGCTTACTCCCACCTCTGCTGGTGGAGTAAGAGCGTCGATTCAGGGATCGATTGTTGCGTCCCGACGAGACGCGATAATTCGATCCCCGAGAGGTCAATTTCTACCCGCCGATTCAGGCGGGTAGTGTAGACCTCACCAGAGTGAAAGCAGCACCTGGGCCCTGGCCTAAACCCCAAGCTGTGCCAGCTAGCCGAGGTTTAAAGCACCACTAAACTTGTGAGAGGGGGTTTTCTGTGTGGATGGAAGTGGGATTAGGAGCACCATCTGAGTAAGAGCACAAGTTAACTCTGCAGTTAAGACATACATAGAGGGACAGCACAGACTCTCACCCTGATTTTCTAGAAACTTGTGTAAAATGTGGGTTTAGGGGAATGTTTTTGTTTCCGTTTTCTAACATGAAGGTGTATCCATTTCTAATGTTAAATTTCTTATTAATTGGCTTTCACATTTCCAGTAATAAGAAAGATGATTTTTTTGCAATGCAAAAAATGGAAAAGGTCATGCTTTTGTCATTGCAACCCTCAAATGTGAAGGTTTATATCCCTACAATTTTTATCCTACTCAATTTAACTGATGGTATCATTATCTGGATGTAAGCAGAGTCAGGATGAGCTCTACCCTGACATCTGGTGGTGAATTATGGCGAGTGTGGAAAAGAACTCCAGGAGCTGATCTTGTTTGCATAGGCACACCCACTCGCCTGGCATGGAACACAGCAACTGAAAGTGGTTACTTTGGCTGGTGTGGGATCCCCAGTTTCTCTATTATTGGGGCAGGAAGAATAAAGTTTTGTTACCCTGATTCTGTGAATCAAGGCCAGTGGAACTGTTGTATGATAGAAGGACTGAGTGAGTCCTTCACCATTACCTAAGTAGCACTTGCTTGACAAGGGGCATGGGTTACAAAACCCAGTGAATTGAGAGAGGATGGGGACAGGTATGTGTACCTGATGGTATGGGCCCCCTCTGAGGGTTTGAAACACCAATTGCACCGCCTCCTCTCTCCACTGTTGAATATCAGAGCGAACTTTGATTCCCTTAGGAGTCTAGTTACAGGCTGCTGAGCTGAATTCACTTTGGGCCAATGGTTCACCAGCACTGGGTCTCCCCTACTAGCTGAAATCGCTAAGAGCTGAAATCACAAAAGAGCTGATGTTATTAAGAGCTGAGATCACTGAGGCTGTGTTAACTAGTGGGGGAGCCTGAAGCTATACTGCTCAGCAGCTGGCGGAGCAATTTGTGGGGACGACTGGAGGAGCAGCGAGCGGCGTGGAGCCTTGCGGGGCCAGTTGGAGTGGCCCAAGGAACGGCGAGCAGAGCTGTTTGCGGGGACGGCTGGAACGGCTCACAGGTCGGTGAGCGGAGCGGAGCAGCTTGTAGAGCGGAGCAGTTCGTGGGATGGCAGGAAAGTGGACTGGCTCGTGGTAAAGGCTGCGGCGGAACCCCCACGGGGAAACAGACGGCTGGCCAGCCTCGGATCACGTAAGGTGCCCCTTAACACCCTGCGTGCCCCCCCCCTTTTACTCTGGGGCTGCACTGACCAGGGACAGAGACTTTGGGGGTTGTTGGACTTTTGGGACTTTGGGTGGTTGCTGGACCCAAGAGACTTTGGGGATGTTGGACTTTGGGGACTCTGGGTGATTTTTGGGTTGCTGGATTCAAGAACCAAAGGGAAAGGACACAGCCCAATTTGCTGGGGTGGGTTTTGCTCATGGTTTGTGTTATGAATCCTGTTTGTGGTGTTTTTCCAATTTTATGCTGATGTCGTTTACCTCATGTTATTAAACATTTTCTGCTACACTCAGACTCCGTGCTTGCGAGAGGGGAAGTATTGCCTCTTAGAGGTACCCAGGGGGGTGGTATGTAATTGTCCCAGGTCACTGGGTGGGGGCTCGAGCCGGTTTTGCATTGTGTTATTGAAACGGAACCCCTAGATACAGAACCCGGCCCTTGTTGCTGCCAACTTAGATGGGCAGAAGGGTTACATGTATAAATGTGGTTTTTTTAAAATCATGCAAAGCTCTTTGTTTCCATGTTGCCTTGTGGTAACAAGTCCCTTAGCTTAACTAATTCATTGTGTTAAAATGTAATTTTTTTTAAATCAGTTTTAAAATTTGATGGCATTCATTGTAAATTGCTGAGAACATCAGTTTCATTGGCTTCTCCGTGTTCTTTGGTTATGAAAGAGGATAAATAGGAGGACCTGATTTTCCTTCCCAACACCATTCATTATTTTATACAATAATACTATGTCCCCTGTTACCCTTCTCCTCTTCAGACTAAACACAATACTTCAGGTGGTGAAGTAATATCAATTAATATCATGTCACTATAATATTTTTGGTATTATTTTGTATTCCAGGCTTTTTATTTCTTAACATTTTGTTTGCCTCTTTTGCTGCACTCTCACCAGCTGTTATCATGGTGTTTTCTACTTTTATTGTAGTTTTATTTTCTGTACTTTTCTTCAGGTACCATACACAATCTGATTGTTGGCTGCAAACCGCTGGAAATGGTTTATTCTTGTGGCCATGCTAATGTACCAGTGAAGTTAAAAATTTCTGAAGGGCTCACAGGAATTATTGGCTCCTATGAAAATGAAAAAGCACTTCCTGTTTTTAGTGACGCCTTTTAAAAATATTTCACGTGTTTCCGCGCCTCTAAGGCAGATCCTTCCTTATCTCTGTTCCTGTGGCTCCTTCTCTCTTTCGGTAATTTTGAGTTAACTTTTGGTGGCTGTTCTCTTCTTGATTTAGTGCCAAACCTCTCTGCAGAACAGGAAGTTATGCTATAGCAGAGAGGACTCCTTTATTTTCTATGTTGCCTTTCCCTCCACTCGGTGTATTTATTTTCTTATTTTGGGCTCCAGCCATTTCTGAGGCTATGTGAAGCTGCATATACATGAACTGATCACTCGCAGATGCACATATGATTACAACGAGTTGCCTGCTGCCCAGAACTGGTATGGCAGGGTTAACACTGCTTCCTGGTTTTGTATTACCCTAAGAATTAATCATGTTAGTGCCTTTGAGTACCCTTTGGGATTTCCTGTGTACAGTGACAGTATAAGCTCAGGGCCTCAGGCCGAGAAAAGGCGGATTTCCCCCACTCACGTCTCACCTGGAAGGGGATTTCCATCTTGCACAAATCTACTGCAGGACTTGCAATTATGCAGATATATAAGGCTCATAACAGTATGTCGGTATTTTGTATGATCTCTCTTGGGAGCTGTAAAAGGATTGTCCACCTCTGTAAGTAAATACTTACATCTTTGAGCTTATATTTATTTATGGAAACTGTATATACTTTGTATTTTGTAACTGTAAATGCTAACTTCTGGCTCTTTTACACACATAAATATTCCTAAGTTAAGAGTGGTTTCTGCATTTCGATGGCTTTCCGCTTGTTGATATATAGTGATTTATTAAAAGTGTTGTGTGGAACTATAAACACCCTCTGTATTTTTTCTGGAGTTGATGCATGTCTTCGCTTAGTAATCTAACATAAGATGTTAAATACTTTCTGGCTTTTTTATCTCTTTTCAAAACTGCACATACCTCTTTACATCTCAAAAAATAAAATAAGAGTGATAGATGAGATCCAAAGGAGGTCAATGCGGGGAAAGTGGCAATCTTTGCTAGTCCAAAACTGGGAATATATTCAGTTTATTTTCATTTTCAGATTTCAGTTTAATTTTTTGGTAAATTTTCGTCATGATATTTTTCTATTCTGACCTGGCTTTTTTCCACCACTTGTGTTTTTTCATTTAATGTTTTTTTTCCCTCTCTTCTTTTCCTTTTCCTAGCTGTTCCCACCACTCTTTTCCCTATTTGATCCTCCCCTCCCTTCATTTTATCCTTCCTTTCTTTTCTTTGGATAGGGTCTGTGGCATGGGTTCTGCTTATTATCCAGCTTTGTGTACTGAGTGTTTCAGAGGGTTTGCAGAAGAGAGTGAATTTGCAGTTTTGGTCTTCAAACCTGCATGAATTTACAAACCTTCACTGTTTACTGCAATGAACTGCTCTCTAATAAATCTTTTCTGATGAAGGAATTGGCAGTTGCACATTCTATGGAGCATTAGGATTTTCAAGCTAAGATACTTAAACTTTAACAACCATGATACATTATAGAGAACCTAACATACTGCTTTGCTTGTCACACAATGTGCTGTATAGCAGTACCCAGTGTTTTGTGAATATCTCAAGGAGCAGTCATCAAATTCCACTCTAATGTAAACAAAATGTTGTATTTGCAATAAAAATAATGCCAGTGCAACACCATTGATTTCAATGGAGATATACGATGAAAAACTGGCCAAATGCACTAGTGAATCAGCTTTATTATGTGCATTTGTGCACAGTCTCATAATTGCCCTAGTGGATTTCTTTCTGTACACGCACATCTTAATGACTGTGCTGGTAGATATTTCTCCTTCAACAGGCATCCTCCCTCCCTCATTTCACGGGTGGTGTTTTCTTTAGGAAGGAGGGACGATGTGGGAGTCAGTGACCCCTGCTTGCCCTCCCCATCTCATCTGTATGAGGTAAGAGGGAGTTGCAGTTTCCTGTCTTCTCCCAGACAGGTTTCCTTTTGTGGGGTATGATGTTACCTATAATTCAACTGGGATCTTCTGATAGGCAGACAGGCCAGGCACTCTCCATTGGGAGCAGCAGGGCAAGGAAGGTGCCTGCTGCAACTGCCACCTTATTATTGCCACTTGTAACTTTAGCTACGTTCTGAGTTCTCTGGTGACACCTGTTGGGTCTGTGGCCTTGACCTACCTCACGCAGTTTCATTAGCAAGCAGATTTCCCTAGCAGGTATCATCAGTTGTATGTAATAATACTTCTAGGGAGATTGAGAGTCATAAATCCTGTGACAGACACTGTCACCAGCTGTCAGGTTTTGATCATGAGTCCTAGCTTATTTCAAGTAGACCAGTCAAGTCCTCTGCGTTTGATAGCACGAATGAAATTGTTTATGTATTCTGTACACAAAGGGCTGGTCTACACTGGGGGGGGGGGAATCAATCCAAGATACGCAACTTCAGCTATGCGAATAGCGTAGCTGAAGTCGAAGTATCTTGGATCGAATTACCTGGGGTCCAGACGGCGCAGGATCGATGGCCGCGGCTCCCCCGTCGACTGCGCTACCGCCACTCGCTCTGGTGGAGTTCCGGAGTCGACGGTGAGCGCATTCAGGGATCGATATATCGCGTCTTAACGAGACGTGATATATCGATCCTGGATAAATCGATTGCTATCCGCCGAAAGAGAAAACAGGCACTTTTAGTCAGGATGACATTAAATTCCGTTTGAGGGAAACAACAATAAAGAAGGAACAAACTGGAAGTCCCCATGAGAGACAGAATGAGTACAGACTGTTTCTCTGTAACACCCTGTGACGATTTGGGGAATCTGTCTACATACAATTTATGAATCCTGTTTCAGATTATGAACTCTGTATGTATCTTTACCAAACTGCACACTTCATTTTGATTGTAAGGCTAGTCTGGCTTCTCTGTTGTTTTTTTACTTCCATTTTGGGATGACACAGGGCTAGCAATGGAAGGTTAGTCTTCTATTCAAACGGGAAAAACCTGGAAAAAAGAAGTTGGCAAAACCAAGAAAACCCGGTTCTGCCAGGAAACCTAGTATTCAGGCAATAGATCACCTGGTGGTGGACTTTGAACATCTGACAAGGTCACATGACAGAAGAAACTGCAACTTTATAAAGACTCTCAGTAGCCATTTTAGAAAGAGGGGGAAGAGACCAGAAGCAGAAAGCAATGCTGTGCAGGAACAGAAAGGTGAGGATCCTGGATACCCTAGAGCAGCTTTAGCAACCTGAGGACCCCCATTTTTATTTACATTCTTTTGCTGACCCCCCAAGCTCCCTGCTCAGCCCCAGGTGCTGCCACCCACTCTACCCCTTCCCCCAAGGCCCCACCCTGCCCCACCTCTTCTTGCCCCTGCTCCACCTCTGCCTCTCCTCTTCCCCACCCCTTTCTGCCCCTCCTCCGAGTATGCCCTGTCACCTCTCCTCCCCCTCCCTCCCAGCACCTCCTGCACACCTATGAACAGCTGTTCCACGGTGTGCAGGAGGCACTGGGAGGCAGGGGGAGGAGTTGATCAGCAGGGCCAGCAGCCCCGGACATGATTCCGCCCCCTTCCCCAAGCCTGCCCCGTCCCTGCTCCTTCCCCCTCCCTCCCAGCACCTCCTGCACATTGCTGAACAGCTCTTCCCCGTATACAGGAGGTGCTGGGAAGGAGGGGGAGGTCTTGATCAGTGGTGCCCGCAGCCCCCCTTGAGTACCCTTGCAGACCCACAGGGATCCAGGGACCCCAGTTTGAGAAACACTGCCCTAGAAGTCTCTGACCTAAGCCCTAAGAGTGCTGGAGTCAGGGAAGGGGATGTAGATATTTCATTGTTTTATCTGAATATTAGATCTCTTCGGCCACCTAAAGTAAAGAGTCATTGTTTTAGAATCCCTTTTGCAAAGTCTGTGCAGTATGTACTTCAACTATCATGTGTTCCTGGAGAGGTAACTGTAAACCACAGTGTCCACAATGTTGGAGCTCTGGAAATGGGTGTGCTTAAGCAACAGGGATATTTTGGGGCTCAGCACAGGTCTTGGAGATCTAGGGGAGCTGGCCTGTGAGGTCCCATTTCCATGAAGCGCTAATAGGCAGAGAGCCTGTGCCTAAGAATTGTGCCAGAGAGGTGAAGGAAAGAGTAGTGTTGGGAGCCTACTCAGATCAAGGAAAGCTTTAGAGTACACAAATCCAGCATGGTGGGATCCAAACACAGCCACTTGGTGAGTGTTCAGTAGGGGGAGTTCCACTAGGACTATGACACACCAGCTTTGAAAAAGGTGACAATGAAAACCAGGAATGTTCTTCATTTGTCATGTGGATTTGGAGCCAGGTTTCAATGTCCTCCAGAACAGGGGTTCTCAACCTTTTTCTTTCTGACCCCCTCCTCCCACCGAACATGCTATAAAAACTCCACGGTCTGCCTGTGTCACAATAACTAGTTTTTTGCATATAAAAGCCAGAGCCGGAGTTAGGGTGTAGCAAGCAGGGCAATTGCCTGGGGTCCCATACCACAGGGGCCCCTGCAAAGCTACATTGCTCAGGTTTCAGCTTCAGCTCCGTATGGCAGGGCTGAGGGTCCTGGGCTTCAGCCCCATGTGGCGGGGCTTCAGCTTTCTGCCCTGGGCCCCAGCAAGTCTAATGCTGGCCCGTCCTGATGGACCTCCTGAAACCTGCTCGTGGTCCCCCGGGGGCCCCGAACCCCTGGTTGAGAACCACTGTTCCAGAGCATACAATTAACAAAGAGGCACCAACTGCTTCATGGAGCTGTACCTCAAGTTCACCTTAGAAGCTGTATTTGGGAGGAAAGGAGCCCAGGTCATTAAAATGCATTTGTGAAAGCCAGATTATATTGTGGGCCATACTTTTAACATCTCAGATCTGGAGAAAGTCAAAAAGAATGCAGTAGGGGGATTTAAACACAAGCAGAACAATTCCCTTCTGTTTTAGATACCTTTTGCTCTGACCACTGGATGCAATAGAAAATATATTTGAAATTACATTACTTTTCAGTATGTTAATTCCTCTAACCACTAAACAACAGATAATAAGTTGTAACTTTGCTTATTTAGACTAACAATGTTCTCTTTTTCTTTGAAGGCATTTTATTCAATATCTGGTACCTTTAGGACTTCTTAAATCAACTGGAAGATGGCAGAAGCAGTACTGATTGATCTGTTCAGTCTACAAATGAACTCACAAAATAATGGCATTCAGAAGTTATTATGTAGCACACTAGAAAGGATTGAAAAAGGCTTCTCTGCCAGTGCTCCATTTGTTTACATAATGTGCTACCAAACTCCGAGAAGCGAAAGTAGCAGTGAACAAGATTTGTTACTTAAAGTAATCAGCAGTTTTCAAACTCTAAAGAAAGGAATTGAGGTTGTGTGCAAGACAAGTACAGCTGCTGCCTTGTACACCATTAAACAAAAACTAGATGAAAAGGATTTAAGCATCATTAAAATCATTTTACCAGTACAAAGGAAAGCCTTAATGGAAGTGTTTATAGACCACCTATTCACTGCTGTTTACCAGTTTCAGTTTGAGGATTTTGGGATGGATTTTGAAGGAAACAACCTCCAACAAATAGCTGAACCTCAGAGCGACATACAAACACTTCCTGCCCATGAGATGGAACTCATCAGGAGTGAGATTCAGACATACTTGGAAAGTCTGCCAGACCTGAAAGGGAAGCTTACCATTCTAAAATCTTCCTTGATCCCAGGTAAACTGGAAAACAGATTTTATGGATTTTTTTAAACCTGTTTCATTCAGTTTTCAGTTTACAGATTCTTCTACTTCAGGGGTTCGCAACATGAGGGCTCAGGGCTGAATTTTTCACCCCCAAAATATCTCTCTGCTGCTGTGATATCCCTATAGCCAGCCAGGGGAGAAGTCCCCAGTGCAGACATCAGATAAGATAGCCATAGATTGTCCTATGCAGCCCGCCCTTGTAAGTCCAGGCACAGAGGGTATAGAAGGGGCCTAAAGGGGTAGGCCTTTAGCACTCTGGGGATTCTGAGTGGCACTGCTGAATAACTTAGATCAGTCCCAATGGATGCCTAAATCACAGTCCAAAATTGGGAAGCAGTCCAAAATTGGGAAGGAGCAAATGTGGCTTAAAGAATGGCACAACATAGGGTAAGATTCTATGTGTTCAGTGTTAGTGCTGACGCAGAAAACAGAGACACCGTGTCAGCTGATGGGGTCAGTAGCAATCATTCTTATGGGGAAGAAGCAAAAAGCAAACACCTCTCTGAGTGGAGCCATAGAGCACAATGCTCCCCTTAATCTAACTGCTCTCCATCTCAGCGCTTGTGGGATCTAAGCAGCCAAACGAGGGCTGTGTCGTGCGTTGAAGTTCTGAGTAGGAAGGGGTGGGCAAGGGGTTGCCTGTTTCCTGCTCTGCCAGCACTCACACCTTACATTTAATTAAATCTTTGGATATTGTGTTTTCCTGCACTATTGGAGGGGGGCATCTCACGGTTTAGATAAAAACAACCTACTTACTTTATATTCCGGCTACTTGGAATGACACTCCCCAAATCAAAGAACTGAATTGTTGGAAGATCTCTATCTGGCTATATCCTGTATCTGTTCGGATGTTCAGATAACAAATATGGACTGCTGAAACTATCTTCAAAAACACACCCACTACGTGCCTTAGCCAGTCAGAAAATCAGTTATACCTTACAGTAGTGGTTCAAAGACTTGCTTCCTCATTTTTCTTTATGTACATTATTCCCAGCTCGAGAAGAGGGATTTTTCAATTTGAGTTTTCCCGGAATTCTTCCTTCGGGGGCAGGAGATTATAGCACAGCATCCCCTTGTGGCAGAGGAGGTAGAGGATTTGGTTGCAGAGAATGCACAGGGAATTCTTTATTCAGGGTGCCTGGTCTCTCACTGTCAGTCAGGTGTATGCACACACAAACTTTGTAATTCTCCTTAGCTATCTAGGTCACAGATACAAGCATGGTCTTCACCTAAAACTTAGGCTGACCTAGCTATATCACTCACGGGTGCAAAAAATTCACTCCTGTGGAGGACGTAAGTAAGCCAACCTAAGCCCTGATATTGGCACTGCTAGGTTGATGGAAGAATTCTTCTGTTGATCTAGCTAGCAGCTCTTGAGGGGGTGGATTAACTACAACAATGGAAAAACTCCTCGTGTCACCATAGCACATCTGCAGCACCATAGATGTGTCGCTGTGGCGTCTGTAGTGTAGACACACCCACAGTCCAGTGGCATAGATAGGAGTGGAAATTTGGGTGGGCCCCAATTTTCGGGTGGACGGGCAATGACAGACTGTGCTAGCTCAGCTTCTCCCCGAACGCTACACCCTCTTCCTAGCCCTGGTGTCCCCAGACATAGGACTTCACCTGGCAAGCTGGGCACGTGCATGGAGCGGCTCAGAAAATGGCCAGGCAGAGCTGCCAGAGCATAGCTTTCTGAAGGGCGGGCACATAGCTCCATCCTGGATTTCAGGTGCCCAAGTGATGCTCTGGGTTGCTGTGGCAGCACTATACCCCTGCTCAGATTTGGGAGGACCTGGATGCTAAGTGTGTGGGCCGTGGCCACGCCCCTGCCACAGCCTCTGCTGCAGATTGTCACCACATATGTGCATCTAAGTCCTGGATTGGGTGAAGCAGTCATGGAATGGATTTTTATTACAGCACAAGGAATGGGTCTCCCTGCACATATCCACCTAGCAGAAGATTGGTTCTCCCTAAACCTGCAGTTCTTTAGAGATCTCCAGTGGAGGGAAGAGCCATTTGCCCCAAAATCCCTTGCCCCTGCCCTGCTGCTCAGCTCCCCACCATGGCTTCTGTGGTTCCTGGACAGTATTTCACCTGTTGGAGCTGTGTGCCAGGGACCCCTCCACTGCAGGTGCTCCTAGAAGGAGGAGTTGCTAGAGACTTGGACACCAGTAATTTGCTTGGGTTTGCCCTGGAAGTTGGAAGAGGGTAATATTAGATCTAGCAGAGAGCCTGCTGACTCACATCCCGTGACCTGGAGCTCTGTGGAGTCCAAGGGTAATGTGGTCACAGGGAACATGCCCCTGTCCTGGCTCTTACTCACTCCACGCTTTACCCTGGCAAGAGTCACAGTTTTTCTCACTTGCTCGCCAGAAGAAGAAGGCAGCATGGGATCCTTGTTTTTAAATGTCATCATTAAATAAGCATCAGCCATCCAACAGTCTGACTGGCTGATACCAATTCCATTTGGCAGAACCTGGTATAATTTTCAGGTTTCTCATTTGTTTCAAACAAATTCTCTCTCTCTTCACCAGGTCACATCTTCCTACACGGGTTCACCACAAGGACAGGTGGGATCTCTTATATACCAACGCTCAGCTCCTTCAACCTCTTCAGCAGTTCCAAGCGGAGAGATCCAAAGGCTGTGGTTAAAGAAAACCTACGCAGATTAGCTAATGCTGCAGGTTTTGACCCAGAGACATTTCACCGTGTGAAGGTATGTTATCAGATAGCAGTGCACTCCTATATTAACTAATCAGAGCTTGCTTTGTGTAGCAGTGAATGTTTTGGTTTTTTTAACTGTGCATTAGTCTTCTCTTCCTAGCAAGAGATTATAAGTAGTAGGACAACTTTTTAAGACAGTTATTGTGGCAGTTTAACATGATGAAACTGTCATCATAGCTGTCAACACGCTTGGTACTATATAGAGAGGAAGATTCAGTCCCTCTCCCAAGAAGTTTGTTCTAATAGAACATACAGTTAGTTCAGTGACATAATACCATATATGACCAGATAAAGATCCAAAATCAAAGTGGTGCAGATATCTTTTTACTTAAAAAATTCATTTCTTTCTTAGACGGATGTGGTTGCACACCAGAGGTGTGTTTTAAGAAGGGATCTGAAGGCAAAGACAGTGGTTGTTTGTTGAACAAGAAGAGGGATGGAGTACTAAACATAAGGGTTGGCCTGAAGAGGGTGAGAACAAGAGAGCTGGAGAAAGGGCATTCAGCAAAGTATGAATTAATTTTTTTTTCACTGCCTTATAACTGTGCTTCATCTGTCTTTGTACTGACAGGTCAATCATGCCAGTGATGTTTGGATTATGGGAAAGCCCCAGCCTGACAGCTATGATGGAATAGTAACGAATCAGAAAGATGTTACAATAGCCGCTCTCGGCGCTGACTGCATACCTGTGCTTTTTGCTGATCCTGTCAAAAAAGCATGTGGAGCTGCTCATTCTGGTAAGGGCATCTAGTATTCAGTTCACATAATCAAAGTAATATAATACTAGGAGAGTACTGGGAATGGATCCCTTGAATAGTAAACGGGATTAATAATCAAGTAGTAAGGTTGGGTTTAGTGAGAGCCAGTGAGTGAAGGATCCCAGGCTGAATCCCTTAACTCTTCCTTTTTAGGCTTCCTAATATAGTTCTTTTTCAAAGATGTAGAACTCTTCTAAAGAGCATGTAATAGTTAGCTGGATTCCAGTCAAACACACTTGCAACTTTAACTGTTTCTAACAAGGTTTGTGTTTGTGAATTGCCCAGTTTTTGGTGTGAGCATCAAACATTTCAATCAGATTGTGCCAGAGGTCCGTGGATCTAACAGCTCTTAGGAGGCCCATCAGAGTGGAGCTTCCCTCTGCAGGCTTCATACATACAGGAAGGATGTATGTGTGTAGGGAGCTACACCGTGTGTGTGTGTGTGTGTGTGTGTGTGTGTGTTATGCGTGGGGGAAGTGAGTGGTGACGGGAACGAAGCGAGGATAAAAGGGAAGCTTTTATCCACGTTGACAATTTTAAGAGGTTGAAGTTTTTATATCTCAAAATGTTAAGTGTTAAAAGTTTAATGTGTATAAGAGTTTGTGCATGCTCTGTCCCTTTCTATGTTCCCCTTTCAGTTACCTGCTCCCCCCTTCCCGGACCCCCAAGCTGCTCCATCCTGTCCATTCTCTGCCAGTCTCCTGTGCCCTCTCCATGCACCCCCTCCATCTGCTTCACCCTCCCATTCCAAGACCAGGTAGCATGTCACCCAATCCCCTCTCTCCAATCCGCATGCCTTGTATTCTACCATGTCCCTGACCAGTCACATATTCTCTCCCCCATGTCCATCCTTCTGGCGTTCCCCAAATCCATGCCTGAAGTCAGTAGCAGGTCAAATTATTTTGATAAACATTTAAAAATAGGTTTAAACCTTGCTCTGTATACACCTAAATACCATTCTGTGGCCCAGACTGTAGCCAGGGGTCATAGAAAAGGAGGGGAGAAAAAGAAACAAAATACCTTTGCCTCTACATTAAGGCACACTCAGTTCTGTGCAAAGCCTGTCTTGAGCTCTGTGTAAAGTACAGGGAGTCAGAGCTAGGTTTTCTTCCTTGTAGTCCAAACAATCCTGGCATGCAGCACAGTTTACACTTGCTTCAGCCAAGTAGCACAGATATGGAGATTTTTTTTTTCCCATATAAAATGTTTTTTCCCTTCTCTTTAAATAATATTTTTCCACAGTGCTGTCATGTGAGATTGTAAAGAAACTTTTACAGTATTTAACCCATGAGATATTGCCGCACAGAGTGAACAGTGAGGTGTAATTGAATGGTGTAAAATCAGGGCTGGGAGCAAGGCATTCCTGAGTTCTAAGCCCACTTGTAATATTGACTTCCTCTGCCCTTGGGCAATTAAAGGTTCCTTTCTTCTTCAGTTTCCCCATCTCTAAAATGGTAATACGGCTACTTCATAAGAATGCTCTGAGGACTGTTAATGTTTGCTAAAAGCTAATTATTCCTCCATGTATTTGGCTTGTAGATTCTTAATAATAATAATTAATAATAATTAATTTTCTGTAACCATTCAATTTAAAAATAAACTTGCAGGATTTTTTCCCCTTATGTTTTTTCCTAGGATGGCAAGGCACTTTGTTAGGAGTTGCTATGGCTACAGTAAATGCTATGATAACAGAATATGGCTGTAATGTTAAGGATATACTTGTGGTGCTGGGCCCATCTGTTGGACCGTGCTGTTTTACACTTCCTCAGGAATCAGCAAAAGAATTTTACAATCTTGATCCCAAATGTGTCAGACAGTTTGAATCTCCAACTCCCTATGTTGATATTAGAAGGGCAACACGGTAAGTCTGATGTGTGTTTTTCTATGCTATAGTTTGTTGTGCTAAGCAGCCTAGGGATGAGGACAAAAGACTGAATCAGAAGAAATTTAGGTTCTAGTCCCAGTTAGTCACTGATATGGAGTGTGATCCTGCTGGGTAGGAGTTGAGGGCCCTCAGAATTTCATGGGAGCATTGCAGTATCAAGCCCTTAATGAATGAACCTAGGGACGATATTTGCTCACCTTGTGTACCGCTCAATCCCACTTGAAAAACTGGGTGGGATGGACACAAAAAATATCCCCACTGCCTCCAACAATACCATATACTGAACTTTGCTTTCCTGGATAACAACATTACAAGCAAAATTTTGTTATGCTTTGCATGTGTTGCCAAAGTATGGAGTTTCCTCTAATAGCAAGTCAGGACAGAACCAACTCTTCTAGTTTCAAATGTTGCTATATTTCAGCTATTTTATGCCTTAAGAGTAGCTTCTTTGTTCTATATACATGTTCAAGCTTAAGTATGTGTTCTAAAGACTGAGCAAACCCACTTATTTTAATCTAAAGAAAAAATGCTATTAACACAGTTTGTCTTGCACTATTGCAATAGCAGTAACACACTGGCTTAAGGAACGTGCCATTTGATAAAATGTTCCATCTTTTCTTTTTCTTCCTTTCTTTAAGAATTCTTCTAGAGACTGGAGGGATTCTGCCTCAGAACATACAGGATGATTCTGTCACTGACCACAACCAAAGTCTCACTTTCTGCACAGCATGCCACCCTGATACATTTTACTCTCACGTTCGCGATGGCACTAACTTTGGCACACAGATTGGCTTCATATCGATCAGAGACTGAGGTAGCGTCTCTTATCCTTGGGTAGTAACCGGGCAATAACTGTTAGCATTGCCTGACATCTTACTCTCCTGATAGTAGGCCTCTCCCCTTTCCTTCACCTGATAAGTTCTGAGGAAGAGGTGGACTTATCATAAGGGATTTGTACCTGTGGGGATGCCTTGTTCCTCTGTGGGAGGCGAGACCAGCAGCCGGATGAAAGAGCCAGAGACAAGGTTGCATGGGGAAGTTCTCATGGAAAGTGGAGATCTGTGGGAACTAGACCATCTGTGCACAACACCCCCAAACCTTTCTGAATTATACCAGCAACATGGCTCCATTGTCTGACTTCCATTTTCTACCTCCCATATTCCCAGACCTCTGTAGTGTGGGAAAGCCCTGAAGAGAGTTACTGCTTCTCTCCGAGCAGTAGTAGCGTTCAGTGCAAGCTGCAACATCGATTGTGCTGCCCTGAAAGCAGAGCATGCTGTGCAGAGCTGCTATTTCCTCGACTCCTCTCCATCCCGGGTCATTTCCTACCAACTTCATGAAGCTGGGCTTCTGCACTGAAGCCCCCGGTATCTACACAATGGGGAGGTATTTTCAAATCCTTCTTTCCTCTCTATGTGCCCAGTCCTCCACCCTTTCTGCTCACACTGATTTCCCAGTGCACTGAGCAGCCAAGAGCATCATTCTACTTAGTAATCGGACAGCTGGCAGGCACCAAGAAGTCAGTAAAAAGGAGTGCAAGCTCTAGCTGTGGGCATGCCATTTTAAGAGACACAGAATCAGAGGAGAGGGACATATTGGAGAGGGGATGTTTCTTTTCTATTTTGTATATTTCTTGGCTCTCAGCTTCCCCCGCTTGTATGCTGGGTGGTCTGAAATGTTTGAGCTCATTATGAAAGTTGCAAAGGGATCATTTGAAATACATAACCAAAGTTTCATGATTTTGTTTCTGTTTATTTTTTCCCAGTGGATTTTAATTTAAGATGACTAATGTTCCTAAGCCATCTTCACTGGACACCAAGTCCTTTCTCAGGGTATGTCTACACTTACCCGGTAGTTCGGCAGCGAGCGATCGAACTTCTGGGTTCGACTTATCGCGTCTTGTCTGGACGCGATAAGTCGAACCAGGAAGTGCTCGCCGTCGACTGCGGTACTCCAGCTAGACGAGAGGAGTACCGCAGAGTCGACGGGGGAGCCTGCCTGCCGCGTGTGGACCGAGGTAAGATCGAACTAAGGTACTTCGAACTTCAGCTATGTTATTCACGTAGCTGAAGTTGCGTACCTTAGTTCGATTTGGGGGGGTTAGTGTAGACCAAGCCTTAGTGAACAAGGTCAGTTTCAGGCCTGAACAATCAGTGGAATTGCAAATTTATACAATTCAAAGTAAGCTTGATGACTCCTCTCAGCATCTTGGTCTCACTATATCTCATACAGTTTGACCAGCAGGAATCCCGAGCTTCCATACATTCATCTAAAATCTCCGTTAACTTTCTTTCCCTAGTTAGGCCTTTACAGTTCAAGCGAGGTTCAAAGCTGGAGAAGGTCAAGTGAGAACTCCTCTTGCGCATAGGTGGCGGGTTATATTCTTTTGTAGTGCCCGAGCTCCAGCAATATTCAGGGCCGAGGGCCCTGCTCCAGCAATATTTGGAGCAGGGTCTTTCCCCCAGCCCTGCCTGGAGCGGGCCCCGGCCCCCGCATATCTCCCCCCCGCCCCACCGCATCCCTACCTGGAGCGGGTCCCGCCTGGAGCGGGCCCCGGCCCCCGCAGGTCTCCCCCCCTGCCCCACCGCATCCCTACCTGGAGCGGGTCCCGGCCTCCACCTGCCAACCTTCCACTTCCCCCCCCCCGCATCCCTGCCCAAAAGAAAGCAGCTCTCCCGTGCCTGCTTGTGCTGCCAGAGTAGCACATTCCTAGGCGGAGCCCTGTTCCTGGCAGCAACTGCTGTCTGCTGCCCCAGGGTCCTAGTGCCCCCCTACCACTAATGGCAAGGAAGGCTGCCCTTACCCTGCCCTTCTGCCCTAGCCCTGAGCCTCTCCAATGCCCCAAACCCCTCATCCCCCTACACCCTAATCCTCTGCCCCAGCCCTAAGCCCCCTCCTGCATCATGAACCCCTCATCCTCAGCCCCAACCCTCATCCCCCCGCACCCTAATCCTCTGCCCCAGCCCTGAGCCCCCTCCTGCATCATGAACCCCTCATCCTCAGCCCCACAGCCCTCACCCCTGCACCCCCTCCTATCCCCAAACTCCCTCCCAGAGCATGCACCCCTCACCCCCTCCTGCACACCCGCCCTCTGCCCCAGCCCGGAGCCTGCACCCAGCACCCAAACTCCATCCCAGAGCCTTTACCCTGCATCCCTCCTGCACCCTAATCCCCAGCCCAGGACCTGCACCCCAGACTTCTTCCCCCCACCCAACCCCCCTCCCAGAGCCTTAGGCAGGTGGGGGGCGGAGTTTGGGGTGGGCAGAGTTGGGCCGGGCGGGTTCTGGACACCACCAAAATTTCTACAAACTTGCCACCCTGCTCTTGTGATATGGCAATGAGACCTGGCCTGGATGGGTGTCTATTATATTAAACCAACAACTGCTTTCGGCAGCAGTCCCTGAGGTAGATAAAATCTGCAACCATAGCTCTAGTAAACATAGAGCATAGTTCTGTTGTTCGGGTGGGATGTGGCTAGGTAGACCACAATAAAGCTCAGAAACTTTCTTATTCTCCCATACTGCTTGGTCTTAGTAGCCAATGTTTCTTACCAGCTTGAGATTACTCTAGACACTATCTTCTCTGCTTGATCTAAACTCAAGAACCTAGTTACATCAGAAGGAAACCTGTTTTAACCCCATTATCTGTTCTGCTAGTAAAATCTAACAATGCACCCTTCTTATGCTCAGGGCTGGTGCAACCACTAGGCGATCTAGGTGGTCGCCTAGGGTACCAAGTGTTTGGGGGCGCCCAGGGCTGTCCTAGACATAGGCAGCTGGGTAGGGCACCTGAACATTTGGGGCATCACTGAGTCTTAGTGTCCACCCGCCTGATTTCCTATCCCTGTTCTGACCCTTCTTGCAGCCAGGCTCCGAGTCTTCCTGGGAGGAGGATCTAGTAGTTAAAAGAGAAAAAGCCTCCAGCCTGCCAGACCTATTAGCACAACACTGAAACTGTTAAAGAGCCATTCAAGGGGTAATGAAGCCATTTAACAGGCATTTGCCAACCCCCAGGTATATACTGTCAGTTTCTGAATGTACTGACAAAAACAATTGTGCATTACTGTAATATTTACTCATGACATGTCAGTCTACAGCAGTGGTTCCCAAAGTGGGGTTCGCGAACCCCTGGGGGTTCGCAGGACATTTCAGGGGGTTCGCGAGAAAAATTTCATTAATGGCGGCCAGAGGACTCTGCTGGGACCCAGTTGCAGGGCAGACAGCCCGAGCCTCAGGGAGAGCGGGGCCGGGCAGTTTGAGCAGGCAGCCCGAGCCCTCCCCTGTCAGCGGGGGAGCCGGCAGCCCGAGCCCTCCCCTGTCAGCCGGGGAGCCGGCAGCCCGAGCCCCAGGGAGAGCGGGGCCGGGCAATTGGGGCCAGCAGCCCGAGCCCTGCCCCCGTCAGCGGGGGAGCCGGCAGCCTGAACCCCAGCGCTCTGCGTGGGGCTGGCAGCCCGAGCCCCAGGGAGAGCGGGGCCGGGCAGTAGGGGCTGGCAGCCTGAGCCCCGCCCCCGTCAGCGGGCGAGCCGGCAGCCCGAACCCCAGCCCGAGCCCCAGGAATTTGCCAAATCTCATCTAAAGCCAGAACCACAGCCCTCCTTGTTACCACCAGCCACAACCTCACCCGAAACTAGAGGTGGGTGAAAAATACCAAGCATTTTTCACAGAAAGTTTTGAATTTTTTTCACATTTTTCAAAATTCCCCAAGAAAAATTTACAAAAAACTGAAACGGAAAAATGGTCCATTTTCAAAAACTGAAACATTTTTCTGATTTTTGAAAACCAAAAATGAATTTATTTTTATTCTAAACCATTTTTTTTAAACAAAAGCCAAAAAAACATTTTACAGAAACATCTTTGGTTTCTGGTTTTTCTATGTTCGTTAAAAAAAGTTTCAATTAAAAATATTTTTCAGAGGTTCATAGATTCCGGGGCCCAGGAATTGGGGCATCCATCACACTGAGGAAATTTAAACTTAAATCCCTGAAAATATTCATTTTTAGGAGGGGGTTCACGAGATTTCACAATTTAGTGAAAGGGGTTCGCGGGCTGTTAAAGTTTGGGAACCACTGGTCTACAGGACCTTAGTTTAAAATTTGCTTTAAAAATATTTCATTAGTGAGTTGGTTAAGCTTAAAATCACATCTCTAAAAAATCCTTGCACAATCATCTTTAGCCTTAAATGCTTGGATCTTCAGACATATGTTTTTTTTAAATAAATTCTTCAAAAGACCACCCTTATCTAAAATACATATTTTAATTACTATAGTAAAAAAAAAACTTACTTCCAAAGTCTTCCTGTCCTTTCTGTCCATTCATTTCTCCCTTCACAACCTCCCCCAATTGAAGAGAGCCCTTAAACTAAAGGGACAACAGCCCTTTGCTTCCAGACAGCTGGACAAGAAGTTTCCCTTTCTTTACTTCTGACTATCTGATGAACTAATTTTAAGAGAACCCTCCAGCAAAATCAGTACCTTAGTAAGATATATTTCAGAGTAGCAGCCGTGTTAGTCTGTATCCGACTTGTGGCACCTT